TTAAAAATCTCAAGATTTGATACACTGAAAAATAGAATATCATTAAAAATTTGTAAGATGGCTGGGTGTGGTGGCTCACCCCTGTAATCTCAGCACTTTGGGAGGTCAGGGTGGGCGGATCACGAAGTCAGGAAATGGAGACCATCCTGGCTAACACGGTGAAACCCTGTCTCTACTAAAAATACAAAAAAAAATTAGCTGGGTGTGGTGGCATGCGCCTGTAGTCCCAGCTAATTGGGAGGCTGAGGCAGAAGAATTGCTTGATCCTGGGAGGCAGAGGTTGCAGTGAGCCAAGATCACATCACTGCACTCCAGCCTGGGCCACAGAACAAGACTCTCAAAAAAAAAAAAAAAAAAAAAAAATTGTAAGGAGAGGGAATGATCTGAAAGTAAGGTTTAAGGAAGATTAGCTTAGGTGAACAAGGTATTTTATAGCAGGGAGAAGCTGATATTGAGGAGCTGATTATGAGTTTGTAATGGTATTCAAAATATGAGGTGATGACCGTAGCTATGAGATAGTTGAATTGGAAACGAAGGGAAAATAGGTTTCAAAAGACAAAGTGGTGGGACCGAATACCTGACTAGATAGAAAAAGTGAGGTTTCATTCATAAGCTGTCAGCTTTGGGGACTTTTCTTTCCCCATATATTTAATCAAATGTAAGTAGGAAATTTTAAAGAATTGATTTTGCCCTTTAGAGAAGCTCTTGTGTCTCCATTTCCTTCCCACCTACATATGTAATTTGAGAAAACTCTGCTATCCTTTAGGCAGCTGATTAGCACCTTCCTTTAATCTTTTTCCAAGTAACATAGCATTGCCACACATTCTGAAATAGCTGTTTACATGTTAAAAGATGTTCCAGCTCACTAGTAATTAAATAAGTGCAAATTAAAACAACCAGTTTTTGTTTTTTGTTTTTTTTTTTCAGATAGGATCTCACTCTGGTTGCCCAGGCTAGAGTGCAGTGGTATGATCACGGCTCGCTGCAGCCTTGACTTCCCAGGCTGAGGTAATCTCCCACTTCAGCCTCCCAAGTAGCTGGGACTATAGGCATACACCACCACACCCAGCTGCTTTTTAATTTTTTTTTTATAGGGATGGGGTTTCACCAGTTGCTCAGGCTGGTCTCAAACCTCTGAACTTGGGCTGGTCTCAAACCCCTGGACTCAAGTAGTCCACCTGCCTTGGCCTCGCAAAGTGCTGGGATTACAGGTATGAACCACTGTACCCCACCCAAGTTTGTTTTTATGATGATATTGAATTTGTGAGGGTTTGATGAGACTTTTTTAACTGTCTCAGGGTAGCAGTGAATGGTTAAATAGAGACTACATGCCTTCAAAAGTAAAGTTTCCACAAATTTTATTTTATTTTATTTTTTTTTGGGACGGAGTTTTGCTCTTGTTACCCAGGCTGGAGTGCAATGGCGTGATCTCGGCTCACCGCAACCTCCGCCTCCTGGGTTCAGGCAATTCTCCTGCCTCAGCTTCCTGAGTAGCTGGGATTCCAGGCACGCGCCACCATGCCCAACAAATGTTTTGTATTTTTAGTAGAGACAGGGTTTCACCGTATTGACCAGGATGGCCTCGATCTCTTGACCTCGTGATCCACCTGCCTCGGCCTCCCAAAGTGCTGGGATTACAGGCTTGAGCCACCGCACCCAGCCACAAATTTTAATTTTAATGACACAGTAAATGGTTATGATATGCAGTCGGTTCTCCATATCCACAGATTCTACATTTGTAGATTGATCCAGCAGAGAATTGAAAATATTTCAGAAAAAAAAGAATAATATAATTTTTTAATGCAGCAATAACAACTTTTTTTTTTTAAGACAGAGTTTTGCTCTTGTTGCCCAGGCTGGAGTGCAATGGTGGCACGATCTCGGCTCACTGCAACCTCCACCTCCTGGGTTCAAGTGACTCTCCTGCCTCAGCCTCCTTAGTAGCTGTGACTACAGGCACCTGCCACCACGCCTGGCTAGTTTTTGTATTTTTAGTAGAGATGGGGTTTCACCATGTTGACCGGTCTTTTCTCAAACTCCTGACCTCAGATGATCCGCTCGCCTCAGCCTCCCAAAGTGCTGGAATTATAGGTGTCAGCCACTGTACCTGGCTGCATGTCTGCTACTCTTGAATTGGCATTGCTATTTATGTATCTAAAATGGCAAGAGTATAGATGGTGCCACTATTCTCTCATCCAGTTCCTTTTCACTGAGGTTAGTGGAACTGCACAACCATTCATAGCTCAGATTCATCAGTCCCAAAGGAAGCCCAGATGACTATGGTGTTCATAATAAACAATTTTCTTTAGTATTTTGATTCTGTGCTAATCTTAATCCCTAAGGTAATAGATGAGATACCCAAGTTCAGAGAGGCATAGAAGTCATTTGAGAGACAGCAGTCGGGCACAAGTGATTTTCTTATGCCGAGGCAGCACGTCATGCTGATTCCTCAAAAATAACAGCAGCAGCATTATCATGCTGCAGAGACCAGCTCAACTATACAAAACTACTACCAGCATTGGCCAACACCAGAGGTATTCCAGAGACCAAGCTACCAGGAGCATGCAGAAAGAAAATTAAGAGATGAGATCAGTTAGCATTCACTGAAGAGCAATGGGAAAAATCTCAGCTCGTGATGTCACACCAGAATGCACATGATATGCATTCTGATAATGCAACACTTAGATCAAAATGCAAGAGGAGAAGTAAATGTCTGACATTGTTGACTGAGGATAGTTCATGAAGAGAGAAATAAATTAAATATGTTAAATTTACTCTGAGTGCTTCTTAAACATTCTCCTGTTCTTCCCTAACCCCATGGTCTCTCCTGCCTAATTAGCCCTAATTTTGGTTTTAAACAGTTTTTCATGTAGTGCTTCAACCATGTCCCCAATTCTTTTGAGTCCTGAACCCTTTGACTCATCATTACTATTCATTCAACTAATATTCTTTGAGAATATCCTGTTTGCCAGGCTCTGGAAAAAAAACAATCAAGGCCCAACAAGGACCAATGATGTGATCCTGACTATATCCTTGTCCTTGCTTTTTCCTTCCTGTTCCATTTCCCTCACTTGTATTAAGGATGAAGCTTACCTTTTTCTTTCCTTCTCCTACATTTGCCCCTTACACTGTTGCTTATTCTTCTATTCCCTTATTTTTAGAATTAGTTTTCAGGGCCAGGCGCGGTGGCTCACGCCTGTAATCCAAGCACTTTGGAGGCCAAGGCGGGTGGATCACCTGAGGTCGGGAGTTCAAGACCAGCCTGACCAACATGGTGAAACCCCATCTTTAAAAAAAAAAAAAGAATTAGTTCTCATTTTCCTTCTCCAGACAGTCCCCTCATTCATGTTCCTTCAAATTGTAACCCTTATAGGAAACCTATGCTATGAATATTATTTTGTAAAGCAAGGCTAATAATCTCTTCTTGGTCAGGTGTGGTGGTTTATTCCTATAATCCCAGCACTTTGAGAGGCTGAGGTGAGATCATTTGAGCCTAGGAGTTCAAGACCAGCCTGGACAACATAGCAAGACCCCATCTCTTTTTATTTTTTATTTTTTGAGACTGAGTCTCATTCTGTTGCCAGGCTGGAGTACAGTGGCGCAATCTTAGCTCACTGCACCCCCTCCTCCTGGGTTCCAGTGATTCCCCTGCCTCAGCCTCCGGAGTAGTTGGGACTACAGGCCCGTGCCACCATGCCCTGCTAATTTTTTTATTTTAGTAGAGACGGGGTTTCACCATGTTAGCCAGGATGGTCTCAATTTCCTGACCTCATGATCCACCCAACTCAGCCTCCCAAAGTGCTAGGATTACTAGGATTACTCAGCCTCCCAAAGTGCTAGGCATGAGCCACTGCGCCCAGCCGATCACATCTCTTAAAAAAAAAAACATTTCCACCCACTAACCTGAAAACAGTTTCATGAAATCCACAATATATACAATGAAAAAAGTATTCCTTGTCTGATAATATAATTGACCCACAAACTTCTAACAAACTTTATCTTAAATTTCCTTCTGATCCTTATATATCCATATATGATTTTTATATACCAACCAAGGTTTCTTTTTTTAAAATATAGGCACATTTTTAGGTATTCAAGCAGAATGCTTTATTATAGTTAAGGTAAAAGGAATCAAACATTTATTTCTTTGTAGCCAATTAATAGTATATCCTATGCCACTAATATTAATAAATGACTACTGTTTTTTTTTTGTTTTGTTTTGTTTTTTTTTTTTTTTGAGACAGAGTTTCACTCATGTTACCCAGGCTGGAGTGCAATGGCGCGATCTCAGCTCACCGCAACCTCCGCCTCCTGGGTTCAGGCAATTCTCCTGCCTCAGCCTCCTGAGTAGCTGGGATTACAGGCATGCACCACCATGCCCAGCTAATTTTTTGTATTTTTAGTAGAGACGGGGTTTCACCATGTTGACCAGGATGGTCTCGATCTCTTGACCTCGTGATCCACCCGCCTCGGCCTCCCAAAGTGCTGGGATCACAGGCTTGAGCCACCGCGCCCGGCCATGACTACTGTTTTTAAGCATGAAGTTTTAATAACATTATTTGAAAAATGTGTTCTGGGAAAAGATTACTGATTAAATATTTTGATGTTAAGTCCCTGACATGTAGGATTCAGAAGAGCTGGTATTAAACTTTTTCCCCTATTGTTAACTAATATAATTTCTTTGGAGAAATCTTTCTGGGTAACTATTTATTTGTAAAATATACTACTTAGGAGAGACAAAATAATCTGTGATACTCCTTTCAACTAGAATTTTATGTATTTCTCATGCTTGTTTTGCATCATTCCAGGTCAAAAAGTTGCTAGGGTCTCAGAAATAAAATGAAAGTAGAGTAGTTACTTGCATAAGCAAAAGGTATCTTGCTGTGCCTTCTTATTGCACTCAGAATGTTAGCATATAAACCTTGACATTTTGCCTTATTTAGCAATAAAAAGATACTTCTTTATACTTTGCTTCTTTTGATGTTTTTTTTTCCTACCAGATACAGCAGTAGCCAGAACCCACAGTTCATCTTGGTGCATTCCTTTATGATGAAGACTTTTATTGATTCATTATGTGCAAAAGGAAAAATGAGCAGAAATTACTGTATGATGTGCAGCTCAAACCAGACAGCACCTTTAGGTAGGCAGTCAGGTATGCAAATCTGATGACTTTATGTGCTTTTTTTCTTACATGTCATGAGTATTCAAATTTTGGACTAAGCTATTCAATGTTTTCTGAAAGCAAAAGGCCAACCTGTGGCATGGTTATTACCAAATACTGCATTTAGGGAGAGTAAACAAATATTATCTCAGGAGAATAGGTCACTTAATGTCCCCCAGGAAATTTTTGGAAACTGGGTTTTTTTTTTTTTTTTTTTTTGGAGACGGAGTTTCGCTGTTGTTACCCAGGCTGGAGTGCAATGGTGTGGTCTCGGCTCACTGCAACCTCCGCCTCCTGGGTTCAGGCAATTCTCCTGCCTCAGCCTCCTGAGTAGCTGGGATTACAGGCACGCACCACCATGCCCAGCTAATTTTTTGTATTTTTAGTAGAGACGGGGTTTCACTATGTTGACCAGGATGGTCTCAATCTCTTGACCTCGTGATCCACCCGCCTCGGCCTCCCAAAGTGCTGGGATTACAGGCGTGAGCCACCGCGCCCGGCCATGGAAACTGTTTTATTTTGTTTTTGAAACTGGGTCTTGCTCTGTCCACTAGGCTGGAGTGCAGTGGTGCGATCTTGGTTCCCTGCAACCTCTGCTTCCCAGGTCAAGCGATTCTTGTGCCTCACCCTCCTAAGTAGCTGGGATTTCAGGCGCCCATCACCACACCTGGCTAATCTTTTTGTATTTTTAGTAGAGACAAGGGTTTCACTATGTTGGCCAGTCTGGTCTTGAACGCCTGACCTCAAGTGACCTGCCGTCCTCGACCTGGCTAACCTTTTTTGCATTTTTAGTAGAGACAAGGTTTCACTATGTTGGCCAGGCTGGTCTTGAACGCCTGACCTCAAGTGACCTGCCTTCCTCGGCCTCCCAAAGTGATGGGATTACAGGCCTGAACCACTGTGCCTGGCCTAGAAACTGTTTTTCACAATTTTTTTTTCCTAGTCAAGTAAGGCAGTGAGATGTTTTTCACATCTAGAAACTATTTAATCAGAGGTGACCCTGAAGGTTCAGAGACTAAACAGAGGTGACTGAATATGGAGGAACTGACTCATACTCTATACACTGAACAGAGATTGATAAACCATATACTGAGAAATATAATTTCCAGGGAGGCCGAAATGTTCTCCCCATAAAAACATCTATTTGAGCTGGAAATGGTGGTATGTACCTGCAGTCCCAGCTACTTGGGAGGCTGAGGTGGAAGGATTGCTTAAGACCAGGAGTTCAGGACTGCAGTACACTATGATTGGGCCTGTGGATAGCCACTGCACTCCAGCCTGGACTACATGAGACCCAGTCACTTAGAAAACCATCTGACTGGGTACAGTGGCTGCCTATAATCCCAGCACTTGGAAGGCCAAGACAGGTGGATCTCTTCAAGCCAGGAGCTCGAGACCAGCCTGACCAACATGGCAAAACCTCATCTGTACTAAAAATATAAAAATTAGCTGGGTGATGGTGCACACCTGTAATCCCAACTAATCAGGAGGCTGAGGCATGAGAATCGCTTGAACCCAGGAGGTGGAGGATGCAGTGAGTTGAGATCACACCAGCCTGGGTGAAAGAGCAAGACTCTGTCTTTAAAAAAAATATATATATATATACTTAAGAGGTCAGATAGTGATCAGACATTATTGGGCGAGTGGGGATGGGCACAGAACCTGAGAAATTATTGATTCAGGCTGTAATTTGACCCAGTTTGAAGCATCCCAGTCCATGTTAGAGAACAACTCTAGTGACAGAAAGTCTTCTTTGTTCAGACTGGATAGATTGTCTAGTCTGTTGCTTTAGACATGTATCTCCCTGCACACTTACATTTAGGGTTATTACATAGAGTGGGCTCCCTCTCTGGATAAATAATCCTGTGCTTGTATTACTGATTTTAGATAATATCATTATCGGCTGGACACAGTGACTGACGCCTGTAATCCCAGTGCTTTGGGAGGCCGAGGCAGGCAGATCACGAGGTCAGGAGTTCAAGACCAGGCTGACCAACATAGTGAAACTCTGTCTCTACTAAAAATACAAAAAAAAAGGAAAAATTAGCTGGGTGTGGTGGCGGGTGCCTGTAATCCCAGCTACTTGGGAGGCTGAGGCAGGAAAATCTCTTGAACCAGAAGGTGGAGGTTGCAGTGAGCCGAGATTGTGCTATTGCACTCCAGCTCGAGCAACAATGCAAGACCCGGTCTCAAAAAATAAATCATTATCAAAGATTAACTACCAAATTTGCAAAATGTTACTAATACAAATACATTGTACCTATGTTGTAATTTGAGATTAAACTTCTCTGATTTATTAGTTTAAGATCCTATTTCTCAGTAATACTTCTAGTTTTCATTTGAGGTTAGTTAAAATTCACAGAATGAAAAGGATTTGTGCAAGAATAATAGAAGAAACACTAAAAAGTTATTAACTTTGGAAGGCTGAGGCAGGTGAATCACCTGAGGTCTGGAGTTCAAGACCAACCTAGCCAACATGGCGAGACCCCGTCTCTACTAAAATTACAAAAAATAGCCGGATGTGGTGGCACACGCCTGTAGTCCCAACTACCTGGGAGGCTGAGGTGGGAAGATCGCTTGAACGTGGGAGGCAGAGATCGTAGTGAGCCAAGATCTTGCAACTGGCACACAAGCGTGGGCAACAAAGTAAGATAACGTCTTAAAAAAAAAAGAACTTAATAACTGTAACATCATTTCAAAAATATCTGATTTATAAAAGAGTTATGTTTGACAGATAAAAATTTAGAGATTAGGTTGTATCTTCCCTTAAAAATCTTACTTTTTAAAGACTAGGTAAACAGGACAGCCCAGAGAACTATAATGAATCTGAAACTGTTATCACCATGAGGGACTTTCCCCCTCTCTATGACAAGGGGCATGTCTAGCTACAAGACTGTAGTGGTGACTTTGTAACCCAAGGAAGCACTAGTGTGGCAAAGAGAGTAGAGAGGATGAGGATCCTAGGGAGATGAGGACTACAATGCTTACAGCCCAACCCCCAAGAATGACTTCGGAGGCCTAGTCACATCTTTTATTCTCTTCCAAGGGATTGACCCACTTGCTTCCATTTTACTTTTCACCGTCTGTTAGTTATAACCAAGGTTTCTCCTCTTCCTGACCATTATTACATAGAACATGATATAGTAAGTCTTTGGGTTACCTACATATCAGAAGAAAACCAGACTCAGGCTATCATAGATACTTCATGACAGAAATAGGGTGAGAAGATAGATTAGGGGGCTAGAAATGGTGGCAGTTAAACTAAGTGGGATAAAAGCAATTTATGGGCATATGTGAATCTTTCACACCACTCCTCTCCTGCCCTCCAGAATCTATTCTAGGTTGGTTAAGCCTGCCACCCTGCATAGCTCCAGAGCTGGCCATTCATTTGGTAGTCCACAGTCTATGCAGCAATACATGGTACTTCTGAGTTTGGTTCTGGGGTAAGATGAGAAAGCCAGATGGTGTGGAAGTTATGATGCCTTCCCAGGCAGCAACAGGAAGTAGAGGAAGGGAAAAACACAGGACCTCCAAACAGCAGCAAGAAGGAAATAAGGGGCACAGGAATAGAAACGGTTGTCTAAGTAGCTGTTCCCTAAAGGCCTTTTAAATGTCAGAAACTTACATTTGTTCTAATGTAAGTCAGAGTGGATGAGTAAAAAATTATTACATGAATTTTTTCTTTTTTGTTTTTGTTTTTGTTTTTCGCACATGAATTTTTTTCTAAATAACCTCTGGATGATTTTCATTGATTAAGGAAAAAAAAATGAAATACACTTTATAGATGAAGTATAGATGAAGGAATTAGAAGTCCAGAATGCAATTACTTATACCCAAGCAAAATTTGATGTTCAGTGTTCTAATTTTCTGGGATTTATTTCTCATTACTTCTCCCTCATGGAAATGAAATTAATTTATCATCATGTACTCTCTGACCTATCAAGAAAGGTCTTGGCTGACATCAGCTCCAGGCCCAGCATAGTCCTTTATGGGGTACAGTCCAGCTTGCAGACATACTCAACATTTGGAAAATATTTTCTTCTGGTAGCAACAGCTTTGCCTGCCACATCCAAGGTAACAGCGTGGCTTTATTTATTAAAGCAAAAGAATAATAAGATATAACACAGATAGACACTTATGTTCTAGTTTATAATGATAACTGAATTTGGGATTTCAAAGACCAATTATTTGATTTCCTTTACTACTTTGTCTGCAACACATATGAAGGAATATCAACAGAACAAAAGCATATGACTCTATCTTATAACACTTTGCTATTTTGTCAGTCACTACTGCCTTCTAACCCCTTCTTTTTTTTGGGTACTGTACTACAATAGGATGCTGAACTTTGATAAGAGCTCGTATAAAGCTGTGAATTTACTTGACCCAGGATATTGCTGTATGGCCATAAGCAAGCCACTTAACACCTCTAGGCCTCTAGTTCCTCATTTGTAAATGAGCAAACTAAATGCTATCCAAAAACATATCTTGCTCCAGTTTTCTGTGATCCTAAGTTTGAATGTTTGTTTCTAAAAACATCACTTTAATATGGGTTTTTTAAAATTAAATCATGAGTATTTATTTATGTTCTTAAATGATTTTACCAAAATCTGAAATATGATTTCTCATTGTTATTAGTAGACTTATTAAAACATGTGGCCAGCTGGGCACAGTGGCTCATGCCTGTAATCCCAGCACTTTGGGAGGCTGAGGATGGAGGATAACTTGAGCCCAGGAATTCAAGACCAACCTGGGCAACATAGTGAAACTCTCTTTCTCCAAAAACAATACAAAAATTAGCCAAGCATGGTGATGTGCACTCCTGGTCCCAGCTACTTGGGAGGCTGAGGTAGGAGTATCCCCTGAGCCTGGGGAAGATGAGACTGCACTGAGCTGTGATTATGCTACTGCATTCCAGCCTAGGTGGCAGAGTGAGACCCTATGTCAAAAAAAAAAAAAAAAAAAAAAAGAAAAGAAAAGAAAGAAAGGAA